AACAACAGCCTTCTACTTCAACAGCCATCGAACATCAGGTCTTCGAAAAATTTCACTCAACTATTACGAGCAAGACTCAGCAGCCTTGGACTCAACAGAAGCCTCAGATCTCATAATCTAAACCTATCCACACTTCTAATCCTCAGTCCCAACCTCAATGTCAATCTATTCTTCCCCATCATCTACCCCTACGGGTCAAATTACCGCCACAGCACCCTCATCCATCCCATTATGTCCAGACAAAACTTTCATCCTTCTTATTGGATTAACCATTAAGAGACAATTAAACTTCTCATAACACTTCCCACCGAAGTGTTATGTTATGTGTTCTCTAGCCATCATTTTATTGAATGCTAAAGGACTACATAACCACCGTGAAAAACTTGACATATTTCTTCATGACAACCATATTGATATCGCTCTACTGACTGAAACTCACTTCACTCAAAGGACCCAATTCTACATTTTTTTTTTCAACCCTCCCCCTGCCTGAAGGCAATACGGGTATTTGCAGCAGTGGGATGTTACTGTTACATAACAACCCACTGCTGTATTTTTTGGCTATTACATTATTTTTCTGAGCTGTGCACACACACTTGCTCTTCTCTTAACTTGCATCTGGTTTTCTTGTCTTCTTATTCTGGTGGCCTCCCCGGTGCAACTTCTCTTCTTCTTCCCAAAGAGAAGTGGGTTGGTAGTACAACTTATTTCCATCCGTATATAAAACGTTTGAAGAGCACGTATTTGTCTTTGGCCATAAGTTGAGAAAGATCTCTCTCTGTTAGGACAAAGAGACCTGTTTCTCTCAACAGTTTCGCCCTCAGTGACTCATAGACCGTACAGGTAAGTACAATATGTTCAGCGGTCTCCGGTACCCCACAACTTGGGCATATGGGATCGATATTTATACCATACTGAACGAGCTTTGCTCGGAAACCCCCATGCCCCGTGAGAATCTGTGAGATCCAGTTGTCCGGGAGGACCCAAGTCGCTTCTAGTCACGAACTGACGGTGGGGAAGTACTTCCTTAGGGTAGCTCCTTTTGGAGTCGTCAACCACCGTCGGTTCCAGTCCTCTACTGTATCCTCTCGGAGGATCTTCTTCCAGTTTTTTGGATCATCTCCTATTCTCACTCATAGGTAATCCGGTAGAGCCGCTAAGCATTCTCTCCTAATCTTGTACCGGTAGTAGTCTTCTCTCAGCAGGAGGTCGAGAGGTATTCCTCCTGCCAAGACCTGTACAGCCTCATGAGACACCGTCCTGAATGATCTGGAGACTCGAAGCAGAGTCATCCGCTGAATCGTGGCCAACCTACATTTCTGTCTGTGCGAGAGATTTTGACCCAATTCTACATACGTGACTACATCACTTACCGATCTGACCACCCAAATAACACTGCCCACGCTAGTTCTTGCATCCTTATACATAATTGTTTATCCCACTCCCTTATTCCTTCCACTCCATCTGATGCCATTCAATCCACTTCCATAATCCTTTCAACTCGACCTTTCCACCTAACATTCTTAGCTGTATACTATCCTCCTGGTAATTCCCTCTCTTATACCCTTCTTGATTCCTTATTCCAATTCCTCGTATCGCGCTTTATTGCTGGAGGAAACTAAAATGCAAAAAACCAACGATGGGGTTGTCGTACATCGAACTCCCATGCTAACATCCTTTCACGTGTTTCTTGTTCCAACAGCTATTCTATCCTCTTGCCCATGAATTCTACTTATTGGCCAAAATCCCTCAAAAAACGTCCCGATATTCTGGATATATTTATCACCTCCCAGATTTCTTCTTCCCAAGCCATAATCAAATCCTTAGATGACCTTTCTTCACACCATAGTCCAGTTCTGCTGTTACTACACTCAAACATTGCTCCTAAACCCTTAAATCCTACACTGATTACAGGACGAGTTAACTGGAACAGATTTCCTGATGTTTTGAAAATAAACTAAACTTGAAAATTCCGCTAAAGACAAACAAGATATGGATGATGCTATAAACAAACTGACTTACCAAATAGAACACCCTTTACAATCAGAATTTCAACTTTACTAAACAATATAAATATTGAACTTCCTATTTTTTAATAAACTGAAGTTTCGTCAATTTATCCTTAGGAACTTCTCACTCCAAAAATTCTTCTTTCTCCCACCAAGTTTATTAAAAACAACACAATGCCTTATATATATATATATATATATATATATATATTATATATATATATATATATATATATATATATATATATATATATATATATAAACATGATTTTCTCAAACTTAAAGACAGAATAGGTAATTCCGGCAAAAGTTCTGCAGGCGTGGGAGCATCAATTATATGTAACGAACGGCAACATATTTTTTCTCTTTCACCACTGTGTAATAATTATACTGCTGAATTGGTTGCAACACATAAAGTTTTAAATGTTATACAGCCCAATAAACAAAAAATGGTCATATGAACAGATTCTCTATCCGCCCTAATTAGTCTAAGAAATGTTTCCTCATCTAATATCATAATACAAAACATTCTGTATTCAATAAAGTCCGCAAATAGAAATAATATATCAGTACTTTTTGTCTGGGTCCCTGGGCATTGTGGAATCGCCGTTAATGAACTGGCTGATCGAGCTGCCAAAAAAGCCATTCCTAATGGAATACCGTATCGGAGAACACCTATAGAGGATTTTATAACCGTCATCAAACGGAAAATGATGACAAAATGGAACAGATATAGTCGAATGTAACCGAAAATAAATTGAGGGAGATTAAGGGTGATGTTTCCTTTTGGACATCGTCAAAAAGGAATAATCGCAGAGAGGGAGTAATTCTTACTCACCTGCGTCTAGGTCATACACGACTAACTCATGGATGGAACGTGATTTTTCGCCAACATGCCAAACCTGTGGGACTCCTCTGACAGTGAAACACATTGTAACCTAATGCAGAGCTTAAGAAACATTTAGACTATCTTGTGACTTGACAAACGATCTACACTTCATTTTACAGGACAATACGAATGAAATTGATAAATTATTTTCTTTCTGAAATGTTCGAAACTTGAAAATAGAATCTAATTCTCAATGAAAATAAGGCAATAATGACCCTAGTGGTTGAAGCCTCAAAAAAAAAAAGAAAAGACTAACGTCAGTCTCGCCAAAGAGGTTGTAAAGTTCTTCATTTTTTCTTTGTCTCCACTCTTCACCAACTAACCCCCCATGGGTCCCATTTTTTACATTTTTTTAACCACAAATGTCTCTGTCCATCCCGGTATCTGGCAACATTCGCCGATGAAACTGTTATCCTTTTAAACAAATGAAATCTTAACAGCGTCGTTAATCCTACAAATACACCTCTCCCTGACTGAACATTAGGTATAGGAAATGGTGAATTAAACGACTCCAAATTCAAACACATTACCTCCCCCCTTTGTTGTAAATTATATCCATCCAGTTTACTTTCTCAGACACAGTCCGGTATCTTGGCATTCCCTTAGACAGACCACTAACGTGGAACCTTCATACTAGACTTAAAACACATGAACCTTACCGACGATACGGCCAACTATATAGACTACTGAATTGAAAATCTCAACTTTTTATTAAAAACAAATTACTGATCAACAAGACAATCCTGACACCTATTTTGACTTATGGACTAGAACTGTGGGGGACAGCAAAATTTTAGATACGTATCTAATCTTTTTAGTTTAAAGTCCTTTGAATAATAGTCGATGCTCCGTTCTATTTAACCAACAAAACCCTACACCATGAACTTAACATACCACCATGTCCTATACCTTATTCCAGAAAAAATCTCCTAATTTCACCAGAACCTGACGTATCATCCAAATTCTCTTACACGGTCCCTATCAACCACCACCCATCCCTATAATCCTCCAAGAAGGTTAAAATGGCGGTGACTCCGCGACCTTTTGTAGTATGTGTATACTGGAGTTCTGGCAATGGCCAGATTTCCCATATAAGACATGAGTGTTTGTGGCTAAGCGCTCTCGATCAATCTCCATTGGCTTTAATACAGAGACGTGGCTAAGAGAGTAGCGCATGGATCTCCTGCAGTTCTGTTTCTCCCTTCATGGTTGGAGAGACAAATCTGCTTCGGCGTTCCCTTACCTGATTGTAAATAGTTTTTATATAGGTTGGTATATATTTTTTTTAATAAAATTAATTTATCTTTAAGTTATTTTATTTTTATATATTGAATATACTTTTTTTATGATTATTTAGTTGTTATTTTGCTTCAGTTTAGTTTATATTTTTTTGTACATATAGTGTGAATGTAATCTTACCTCAATATAACCTTTATCTAAGCGACAGAATGTTATATTACTCAATAAATAAATAAAATATCTACTTTAGGAACTATCCATGTAAAATAATTTATCTAGCTTGAGTTTAAAGTTTAACGTTTTAAAATTTCCTGTTTTATACATAAAAGATTATTATGTCATTCAATAAATGTAATTTAGTATGTAATTATCTGGTTACCACAAGAAATATACACCATATTACATATATAAAGATTGGATTTTCTTGATGAACAGTTGGAAGAAAGTTTTGTTTGTAATATTTAAAGGTATTTCATTTATGTGAGAATGGGTTACATCATTTTAGATAGCAATGTTTTCAATTTATTTGTAAATTTATGTATTTCACTCGTATAGAGTTGTATTCGACATGGAATGTGTCGCATTCTATTTGGAAACACATATCTGGTTATATTTAATTTGAAATGAATCTACTTCAATTGGGAATGATTTTCTTTTTTGCGAGTATTCTAATTAAAACATGAATCAAATAATTAATAGGAGAGTACGAATTTAAAATATGTATATATAGGTACAGATTTGACTTATTTTCAAAAACAATTAACTTAAAATAATATTTCATTGTGTTTTAAATGATATAGTCACTGAGAGAGAGTAGGAATCTTAGTAAATAGGTTTTTTTAGTAACACAGTATCAAATAAAATTATTATTGACTCATTAATATAATTAAATAAATAACATCTACATCACAATACATAGGAAAACTTAAATAAAGATTTTTTTCTCAGAAGATATCAGAATAGCTCCTGTGTCTCGGGACCTTTAGCCCTGCTGTAGCTTTTTCCAGTTCCTGTTGTGCTTTCTTCTTGATTTCTGTTATTGCATCTTCTGTTGGACATAAAAATATATAAGTTCATAAATAAGTACAAGTAAGCACTCATACACATCATATATTTGTAACTCTTGATTCTACGAATTTTTTAACTGCTAAAATCTGTTATCACTCCTTTAAATTACTTATATATATATATATATATATATATATATATATATATATATATATATATATATACAAGACGTCCAGTAAGTTATTTAAAGGAGTGATAGCAGATTTTTGCAGTTACAAAATTCATAGATATATGTTTATATAAATTGGTCCGATTTACGGCAGACAAGTAGAAAATTTAAGTTTTTCTTTTTTTGTTGAATAGAATGCGATAACTATAGTAATATTTAATTTAAGTAATTATCACCTAATTCACTGTAAACTAGGCAGAATTTGCGATAGTAAAGTTTATTATTTTAAAACCATTTAAACTTGTAAATGGTTTTAAAGTCTTTTGAGCGGCTTAACTCAGTTAATTCTGTTTTTTAAAAAGTTGTTCGTAATTTTATTATCATCCAACTGTTGTACTACAGATACCCTACTTTTAGAAAAACTTTCCCAATTCATAAGCCTTATGTCCAAATTAATTAATTAAAAAAATCAAGTTTTTTAAAAATTATATTATCCTACGTCCTTTTATCTAAAAGTACTCCTGTTTTCAGTAAAAATGACTACAACAAACTGTTGAAAAGCTTTTACTTCTTCTTTTTCCATGATTCTGGAGATATTACAATAAAAATAAGTGTCTATTGTGCATATTTGTTTTAGTTTTATTTAGCTTATAAATAATATGAATTATTACACCATCTTGATAATTTTACAATCTCCCTTGCATGCCACCAATTAGTTATAGATACAAGTAGTAAATTTTTAAACACGATACCTTTTGAAAAGATATTCAATAAAAATTATATTATTCAATCTAGGATACTAAGTAGGGGGTCGGGGGTAACTAACCTTTAAATACACGAGTCACATAATTGTCAGTTGATCGGTTCCCTTCTGGAACCGATATAAATATCAAATACATTCAATAGAAATAAAGGTGGTTCCTGGAGGAACCGCCTACTCGCCGTAGAAACGCGAAGTCCAGGAACACAGCACAATATTGCGCTATCGCGGCGTAAGAGAAATAAAATAACAAAAAGTAGATAAATACAATTGTAAAAGTACATTAAATTATTTTTATGAGAAATCATTATGACCAAATTGACAATAATAGTTAATATAATTCTAGAGTCATACGATAGATATAAAAAAGGAATATATAATATTTAAAAAATAAATAAATATAATATAAGACAGTTGCAGCACAAAAAAAATAAATAAAATATTCCTTTAATATTATTTAATTATAAACAGAATATGTACATGAGTATTACAAACAAAAAGATATATAAAAAAAATAAATTAAAAATAATAACCTAACCTAAGTCCAATTCAGCAGCAGATATAATCGGCTATTATATCTCGATTTACTGGTGTTGTAAAACTATTTAGACATCAGTCTCTCTACTCCGACTTCTAGATGATAGAGGATGACTGTAAACGTGAGAATATCCAATATTATCTCTTGTAGATTAGGTCCAAAATGCGAGATTATCTCCGGTATGGATTTTGGTATTCCTAATCGCATTACGGCACTACAAAACAAGTAATGCGAGAACGAAAGACAAGTGACTCTTCACAGTCATCTGTTACATAAATAACTGTAACCGTGGGTTGTCATGTTACACTATTGCAGCGACCAAACGAGAAAAAAAATACGAAGTAAAAGAAAATAATTTATTTATATGTATTACTTAAGGGCTTTGAATGAATACTCGTGCATTGAATCTTTTAAATTGAAAAAAATAAATAATAATAATAAATTAATTAAAACAAACAATTTCTTCTTTTTTTCTTTCATCACAATTCCATGTCACAAGTGATACGGAATCTTTCCAATTCATAAAAATTAAAATAATGTTGAGAAAGCAAAAAAAAAAAGAAACTACATCTACAATTCATAGAACCTTGTAAATGGTAAAAAAATAAAATAAATACAAACAATTTCTTTCCTATTTCCTTTCTTCACCACAATACTATGTCTAAAGTAATAAGGGATCTTTTCCGATTCATAAAGATAAAAACTAATTAAATATAAAAATAAATAAATAAAACCTTATTACATAATAAATAATTAGCAGCATATGATTGAATTTTAAAGAGGAATTGAAAGGGTTTTAAATGTCGATAAGGATAGCGCATGGAAGATTTTATTTTATTTTAAAATATTACTTATCTGGCGACTATAAACATTAATGTGATTATATTTGAAATAATATGGCATAGTGGAATTCTGAAAATTTAATTCTGCTGAAATTTCTTCGCTATCATCTTCCTTTTTTTTTTTTTTTTTTTTTTTTTTTTAATATTTAAACTGGAGTTCTGGCAATGGCCAGATTCTCCACTCAAGTCATGAGTGTCCGTGGTTGTAGCGCCCTTACTCAATCTCCGCTGGCTTTCAATGCCAGTGAAATGGTTGAGGAAGAAGCGCAGGGATCTCCTGAAGCCTTGCTTTCCCTCCACGTGTGGGGATAAGTATGGTTCGGAGTTCCTATGGCCGACTGTAAATAGTGTAAATAGGTATGCCTGCGTCTAAGATGTTTATTTTCATTACTTTTTTTTTTTTTTTTCTCACTATGATATGTAATTTGTTCTTTAGTAGCTTTATATTATTTGAAGTTAGCTTATTTTTTTTTATTTTTATTTTTTTTTAATTTGTAAATATGGTGTGAATGTGCTCTCAGAACTCTATTATAAATGTCCTTTATTGAGATAGATTGTAATATTTATCAAAAAAAAAAAAAAAAAAATTATATTAATATTCGTGCGAGGTTTCACAAAACAATGAATAACGCCTGACTTTTTTTCTGTAAATAATTCCGTGATGTTGATTTTCAAGAGGAAATGGCTTTGTACTTGTAATATTTTACGAAAACATCGCTGGCCAGGGCGCTATATAATGCATCGCCCTTTATGTGACTGTTATAATGGAAGAGATAGTAATACAACTATATTGTCCTATCGCCGCGCTAAACATCGCCTTTTGTTTGGCCGTGACTTTATAATTCTGAAATAATCTTGTTAAATCACGCATTTCCTCACTTTTCTACCTAAATTAGATAAAGCATAACGACGAAGGAGAACGATAATTTTATAATTTGTATAGAATTGTCACTGTCCACGGCGTTATAAAATAAATCACTGGGGTTTTTCGCCCTGTTTGATTGTTATTATATAATGAAATAGATACTTATACAACTGTATCGCCATATCACCGCGCTAAATACCGCGGTCTGTGTGTAGGGGCCTTCAGTATGCAATGGAAGATGTCCGTAAGATGGACCAGGTAAATATATATATACATTTCAAAAAAAAGAAACCAATTGACTTTGGCATTAGTGATAAAATTGTAAGATTACTTAACGCCATTTATGATATAGCTACAATGGAGATGAAAATAACAGATGAATTGTAAAAGAAAATTGAAATTAGTTAAGGAGTATTACATAGTGAAACTTTGAGCCCAATTCTTTTTATTATAATATCATTACATTAATTATCAAAAGAAGCATTACTTTGGATAGAGTATCAAACAAACTTTATTCTGTAGATAGTAAACGTGTTTTTAATTCTGACTGTAATCATCTTTATAGAAGTATTTGCAGCAACTCGGCTACTCACCTGAACCAAAAAAATATATTAAATTCAATGTAAGCATAAGAAAAATATGAACATAAGTCAATTAAGAGTCGGCAGTAATCACTACATCAAGTTACATTATAAAAACTTCAACCATATTATTAGAATGAGGGACTTTGCAAGTGGTGTGGTAGATTGCACCGACCAGGAGTTCTAATGAGTTTTCCTATGGCCCCCCTAAGAGTTATAAAAATTAATATACCTTTGAACCTTTGCCCTAAAGTTGACCAAACAAAAGATATAAGCCTCGCAATTTTCAAAAAAATATTTTCGATATTTTGATGCTCCAAAACTTTTTCGTTTCGCATCCTAGATTAAAACACACCAGTAATTATCGGTTGTGCTCGTCAAGGAGCTATTAGAACACCAATCAGAATAATTTTTTTCCGAGATAAATTTTCACCCTTTTGACTTAGTAAGAGTAAGATAAAAATTTTGGTCGAAATTTGTTTTTGGATTTCAGGAGTTCTGATGAGTTTTCCTATGGCCCCCCTAAGAGTTATAAAAATTAATATAATGAACCTTTGCCCTAAAGTTGACCAAACAAAAGATATAAGCCTCGCAATTTTCAAAAAAATATTTTCGATATTTCGATGCTCCAAAACTTTTTCGTTTCGCATCCTAGACTAAAACACACCAGTAATTATCGGTTGTGCTCGTCAAGGAGCTATTAGAACACCAACCAGAATAATTTTTTTCCGAGATAAATTTTCACCCTTTTGACTTAGTAAGAGTAAAATAAAAATTTTGGTCGAAATTTGTTTTTGGATTTCAGGAGTTCTGATGAGTTTTCCTATGGCCCCCTAAGAGTTATAAAAATTAATATAATGAACCTTTGCCCTAAAGTTGACCAAACAAAAGATATAAGCCTCGCAATTTTCAAAAAAATATTTTCGATATTTCGATGCTCCAAAACTTTTTCGTTTCGCATCCTAGACTAAAACACACCAGTAATTATCGGTTGTGCTCGTCAAGGAGCTATTAGAACACCAACCAGAATAATTTTTTTCCGAGATAAATTTTCACCCTTTTGACTTAGTAAGAGTAAGATAAAAATTTTGGTCGAAATTTGTTTTTGGATTTCAGGAGTTCTGATGAGTTTTCCTATGGCTCCCTAAGAGTTATAAAAATTAATATAATGAACCTTTGCCCTAAAGTTGACTAAACAAAAGATATAAGCCTCGCAATTTTCAAAAAAATATTTTCGATATTTCGATGCTCCAAAACTTTTTCGTTTCGCATCCTAGACTAAAACACACCAGTAATTATCGGTTGTGCTCGTCAAGGAGCTATTAGAACACCAACCAGAATAATTTTTTTCTGAGATAAATTTTCACCCTTTTGACTTAGTAAGAGTAAAATAAAAATTTTGGTCGAAATTTGTTTTTGGATTTCAGGAGTTCTGATGAGTTTTCCTATGGCCCCCCTAAGACTTATAAAAATTAATATAATGAACCTTTGCCCTAAAGTTGACTAAACAAAAGATATAAGCCTCGCAATTTTCAAAAAAATATTTTCGATATTTCGATGCTCCAAAACTTTTTCGTTTCGCATCCTAGACTAAAACACACCAGTAATTATCGGTTGTGCTCGTCAAGGAGCTATTAGAACACCAACCAGAATAATTTTTTTCCGAGATAAATTTTCACCCTTTTGACTTAGTAAGAGTAAAATAAAAATTTTGGTCGAAATTTGTTTTTGGATTTCAGGAGTTCTGATGAGTTTTCCTATGGCCCCCTTAAGAGTTATAATAGTTATCTCAATGAACTTTAGTTCTAAAATTAATAATTAAAGAGTTATAAGCCTCGTAAGCTCCACAAGACGGGATTTCAGTTTTTCATAACTTTGCATGGTATTTTTGGTAGTTTAAACAATAGAATTTTTTTTTAAATACCAGAGAACTCTGGAACTATTTGGGGGGCTATTAGAACTCAAAAATAATTTTAAAATTTTCACTTTGGGGGGCCGCTTTTTAGGGGGGGGCTATATTTAAATTTTTTTTTAGAGTTCTGATAGCTCCCCAAGGAATTGTTATAATTATCCCTTTGAAGTTTAGCTCTAAAATTAATATTAAAAGTGTTATAAGACTCGTAAGTTGCACAAAACGGGATTTCCGTTTTTTGCAACTTTGGATGGTATTTTCGGTGGTTTAAACAATAGAACTATTTCTAAAAAGTATAGGGAACTCTAGAACTCTTGGGGGGGTATAAGAACTATCAACATTTTTAAAAAAAGTTGAGGATGGGGGGCCAACTTCACAGAGGTCTGTTGATGATATTGGATATTTCGGAAGGATGAAATGTTTTAGGTGGATGAGACATCCAGTTCTTCTTCAATACATTCAAGGTGATTAGGATTAAGGATGTCAGGATGTGGATTAAAGGTTTTGAAGAGATAGTGATAAAATATTTGAGATTTTTCTTCATCGGACCATGTTTGAGCTTCGGGAAGTAGTGGATGATTATAACCTTTAAATTTTAGGAGATTATTAGTGGTAGTCCATAGTGATTAGTCGGTAGTATTTAGTTTTTCAGTCGAATTTAGTAAATTTTGAATCTTAAATTTTCTAATTTCCGATTTAAGTTTGTTAGTCAGTTGGGTGTAATGAGTTTTATCTGTTGGACATCTAGTTCTATGACACTTCGATCTTGCCCTATGTTTTTCCTTTAGTAAAATACGAATGTGTTGTGGCAAGTTAGTCTGCTGTGAATTGTATATTGTATAGCGATACACAAAACAAGATATTGATGATGCCATAGACAATCTTACAGGATCAATAACAGCCAGAATTAATAAAAATACCTATACCAGTAAGATTAACAATTCACAGCAGACTAACTTGCCAATTTTCCTTAATAATAGAATTTTTAAGTCTAATTTATTTTCTGAATCATCACGAAATCATACCCAGTTAACTTTTCCTGTAATCAATGCAGGGTGAATGGGTTAAGGAGCAAAGTTTGAATGTAATAAAAGCAGAACTGGACTATGATCTGAATAAAGTTCATCTACGGATTTGATTATGGCTTGAGAAGAAGAAATCTGGGAAGTGATAAATATATCCAGGATAATTTATTTGATTTCTTAATATGGTTAGATGGTTGTATTATTAATGAATATTCGGAAACAATGAAATAGCACTAGTACCTGCTTTTTTACGAATCTGGGTTATCCTCTCTTCGGTGACTCGCACAGTATGAGCTAACATTTCGTCCTCACAAGCAGCTCTGGGCCCATGTTGCAAAAGAGCTAAGGCTTGCTTCGTTTTCTCTACCATTGATAAAATACAATTGAGCATCTGCAACAAAAACAAGAACTTCTCTTCAGTAATTTTCTTCTCAATGAATTATAAAATATTTAGGAAAGAAAGAGAAGATATAACATACCCACAACGTTACATCGGTTTATCTCAAACTATATTTAATGTAATGGTAGAGATATAGTTGGCTGTAGATTGCAAACATGGTTGGCATGTAAGTGGGGGTTGAAGCCACAGAAAGAAATAAAAATGATTTTTTCCTTTCTCGATATTCAAGGTTTTGTTTTCGTTTATCCGATTTTCATTAAATTTTAAGGATGTGGGTTGGTAGCTTATATGATCTGATACCGTAACAACTTCATCTAATTCCGCCTAGTACTTCCGGTTACGCGTAAACGTATTTTCTTAGATATGGCATTATTTCAGTAACGGCTCGTTCGATTTTACTAGGTTTAAGTTAGACCAAAGATAGGTATTGATAAAATAATAATGTGGTTTATAGAATTTTTTTTATAAAATTCTGTCAACTACTTTTTCTTAAATTTGTGCTAGGAACTAGGAACTAGGTGTTGATGTTGTGGAGCTTGCGATGTTGGCCGCGAATATCATTTTGGACTCCCTGGGGATCATCCATTATCATTTAAATAGTAATTGAGGATGTCTTTTATTAATTATTTATTCAATTTTAAATTATGTTTGCATCGTGTTATCTTTTTATCTATATTCGTGGAAATGTATATATGTGTGCGATTTAATGATGAGTTCCTGTTATTATTATTATACAAAATTATTTTTTTCATCGACACTTAAATATTATATTGTGAAATAATTATTATTTTCGGGAGTTAAGCCATTTAAAATTTTAATAAACTACATAGATTTGGAATTTATTCCTTTTATTTGTTAATGTTTCGATCCCTTCTTTTCTTGTACATAGAATTGGATCCTCGTACATAGAGCTGGAAAAAACAAATAGCCATCATTATTCATTCATAATAACATTATTTACATTGTAACATTATCAGCAACAAATGAATATACATATAGCGTCGAAACCAAGGAAGAAGAGACGGCTTTACCCTGTCATGCTATTATAAATGAGCATAAAATGGATTTTGAGGAGGTTAAAATATTAGATACTGAAAAGAATCAACGAAAAAGGCTGATATTAGAAATGATGTACATAGAAAAAACAAACAATGTAGTTAACACTCGCAATGATCGGGCAAAATTGAATTATTCATACAGTAACATTTTAAAAGCAGCACAATTTAATGATAAATAAAAGTAAAAGGAGAAACAATTTATAAAGTGGGAAATATGTTATACACTTTTGTTATTATTTAATTTTTATAATTTGATAGGATTTTATGTATGGCACGTGATATATATATATATATATATATATATATATATATATATATATATATATATATATATATTTTAATTTATTGTTATTTAGTCATAGATTTTTAGCAATGTAAGGTTGGCTAATTAATGTACATTCATTTGTTGTTGATAATGTTACAATGTAAATAATGTTATTGTTTAAATAGTGTTAGAATTTGAATAATTTAGTCATAGCAAATATCATGTACATATTATGATCATTGATGTTTTGTTGGTAAGGAATGTATATTTCTGTTGTTTGGTCTATGTTGGGCTTTGGTCTCCGGGGCGGGTGTGCGCGTGGTGTCCCAGTGGCTCGATACAAGTACTAGAAGGCGGTACAGAGACTGTCGGTGTGCCGCTGGCTTGGAGAATCTTTAAGTTAAGAAGATAGGAAGAGATTAAACATTGTTAGTTACGGCATATAGGAACTTGAGTTTTTGTGCCAATGAGGGCTATTTGTTTTTTCCAGCTTTGAAGAGGATCCCATTCTATGTAAAAGAAAAGAAGGTATCGAAACGTTAACAAATAAAAGGAATAAACTCCAAATTTATGTAGCTTATTAAAATTGTAAATGACCTAACTCCCGAAAATAATAATTATTTCACAATACAAAAAAAAATGTTATCTGTTTTGTTTTATTTTACACATTAAAAAAAAAAATGATTGTAATAATTTAAACATATTTTTCTGTGCTGTAGCCAACTCCGTTAAAATCCTCCTTAGGGAGAGGCTTTTGTTAATAATTTATGTCAATAAAGCTTATTATTATTATTATTATTATATATATGTGTGTGTATATATATATATATATATATATATATCGTTTTTTTTTCTCCCTTTTCATAACAATAGTCCTATAAAGCATCAACAATAAACCATATCAAGGTATTAGCATTGCATAACATATATATATCTTCCAACAACAAAAATCAAATGACAGGAACTCATCATTAAATCGCACACATATATACATTTCCACGAATATAGATAAAAAGATAACACGATGCTAACATAATTTAAAATTGAATAAATAATTAATAAAAGACATCCTCAATTACTATTTAAATGATAATGAATGATCCCCAGGGAGCCCAACATGATATTCTCGGCCAACATCGCAAGCTCCACAACATCAACACCTTGTTCCTAGTTCCTCCAGGAAGCTCCTTGTTCTTTTTGGGATCGTTCTACGAGACCTCTCACGGTGAACTCTTTTTCTCTCCGAAGGTCTCGCAGAATTTCTCTTTTAGGAAAGGTATATATTTGTCATTTATATTTTTCTTTTACCTTATCACTTATGCCGCCTGATCGAGGTCATTGCTCTCGAAACGGACAGTTGGATCCAAGATCAGAGCTGTCTTTCTTGTCCTGGTAAATGCAACAATCTCCGCATATCTGGTTTAGCCTTCACTGTCGATAATATACCTCGTCAAAGCAGATGAATTCCTTTTCTCTAAGGAGCCTCATCACCTCGAAGTTGACTCTATGGTGCCGGCGTCTTATGAGGAGGGAGTTGGGGCTTTTGAGGCTTTTTCCCAGCACAAGGGCTGGTGTTTCAGACTCTCTGCCGCTTTTCCGACAGAGGGACCCAAATTCCTTCGACTGTCCACTGGTTCCTAGGACTCCACGCAAAGGTGCGTTATTGATGTTTAGCTGTCTGACCCCGAAAACGCTTGTTTTTGGTATATTTATTTATTGGCTTGCGGGGTTTCTTTAAAATGTCGAACTCCAATGCCTTGCCACCTGCAGCTGGCCCATTCTTCGAAAGAATTTTCTAGTGACTGTCGTATACATTTATTTTATTTTATTGTATTTATTTTTATTTTATTTTATTGTATTTATTATTATTAAGTTCCTGTATTATTTATTTTTTTTTTATTGTAAATAGAGTGTGAGTGTGCTTTCTCTGATCACTATTATAAATGTCCTTGATGTGACAGAATGTAATATTTCTAAATAAACAAATAAATTATAATATAAAAAAAAAAAAGTGACTGTCGTAGAGCTCTCACGCTTCGGTGACCCTGATCTACTCCCAGTCTTTCTGCACATTCTGGGATTTCTGTAACAGGGCATCCGGTACATTAGACAGTCCCTAGGCCAATCTCGGCATCTCGCGGAGCAGATGATCTATAGTCAGGTTGAACAGGGAGGGCGATAATTCGAGTGTTTGATTCCAATCTTGATTTAGTTTGACCCCAGGAGAGCTGCCATTAGGTTCTTTAGGTCCGATGACACTCCTCTTGCCTCTAGTGAGCCGATTATATGATCGTGACCAACGTTTTAAAAAGCGCCGACGACATCTAGAAACACAATCATTCTTTTTATTCTTAGCATTTTTTATGATCGCGTCGATGATTCTTGCGCTCGCATGTTCACTCGATAGGTCCCTGATGAATCCCCTCTGATTTTTGCTGAAGGTGATCTGTTTTCTCAGTTCATGGTCCAGAACCTTCTCAATGATTCGGCGTACAATCGAATAAATGCTAATGGGTCGGTCGCCATGATGATAACCTGTTGGCGTTTCCTTTACCCTTGTAGACCAGGAATGTGCGCCCTTGAGAGGCTCTGGTACAGAAGCCACCTTCAGCATGATCTCCGCAATAGTCCTTATGATATGAGATACATCAAAGAATTTAATCATGCGAACCAAAACTACGTCCAGCCCCGGTGTGTCCAATGACGTGAATTTTATGGCTATTTTTACTGCTTGGACATCGATGAATGTTAAATTTGGCGTCGGGGCTCAATTTTCGTAATCCGCACGTTTTCAGAGAATTTTTTTCTAAAAGAGGCTTCTGGATATTCAATCTCGGTTACCTTCAGAGGGAATTTCTTAGGATCGTCGGCGTTCATAATGTTCTGCATTGTCTATATAATAATTATACTGAGATTTCTCAAAATAAAAATTGCAAATAATTCATGATTTTTTTTAAACGAAATTGAGCTTAGTTTAGCTGCACAAAAGTCCTCTTTATTGTTTTGAAAGTGACAAACTCTACTTTTATTTAAAGTAACATCTATCTAGTTTACTGTGTCCCTTTGTCCGTTTACCTCCTTGGACAAACAGTAGAGCACTTTTTGATTTTTCCTTAAAAAACGCAACAAAATTATCTAATCCACCAGGAATACTCAAACAACTCTTCTTAGCTCATATAAATAACTACGAAGAGTTCACATGCGTCTATACCGATAGGTCAAAAAGATCAGAACATGTTGAATCTTCCGTTGTTTTCCTACGGAATTATCACTGCTCTCTACCCTCCATTTATTCACTCCTATCCTCCGAGCTCTTTGCCATCTATTTAGCTTTAGGTATAATAATCAATGAAATTACAGTAACCATAGTTTTAATTCTTAGTGATTCCTACTCAGCCCTCAAGCTAATAGAAAACTTTAAATTATGTAACAACCCTAATTGTCTTTCAAATCACACAAATCATTCAACTAAGAAAGAAAAATATAAAATTTCTATGGGTCCCCAGTCTTATAGGAATACCAGACAATGAACTGGCTGAAATAGCCGCAAAAGAAGCATCCATCATACTTCTAGCACCAGACACTACCATAGCGCTCTACGATTTCAATAACTCAGTTTTGAACGCGTTAGAGGCCTGGCGATATTGTTGGACAAAGGTTCCTGGTACCAACAAAATGAAAATCATTTTTAATGATATGAATCCACTTCCACAGATGCATGGAAACCGACGGAGCAAACATTATCACCTTAGTAGGCACATGGCTACTCGACTATAGTTCGCCACCTAGATGTCGCAACTGCAATACTGCTTTGACAACGGTACACATTTGGAAAATGTCCGAGCTTGGATCCATCAAGGACTTCGTATCGCCTGCTAGGATATCAACAAGCCCTACAACCTGAAAATCAGAAGCACTTACTTCAATTTCTGAAAAAACGCAATTACTACAGACATATTTAAACAATACAATCTTCATACACGAACTCACAACATAAATTAGAAATAACCTATGCAGTTGTAACAACACGTTTTTTAAACAAACATTCTAACAACATACACATCTAAAAAAAAATACAATACGATCCCTACAGACATACTGAAATGTAATTCAATAATCAATATGGTGCCTCTAACCTATAAAGTTGCACACGGCACCTAAAATACAATCAAATAAATAAATAGTTTACTGTGGATTAATTATTAATTATTTAAATTCAATATTTGTCGAGTTATAGCTTCCAATTTAACAATAAATGTGACACTTAAAAAAACACAAAACTTGAATTACTTTTCTGCTTAAAATTGGCCGATTGTTAATATAAACTTTTTTATTGATCTTGAGGTCTTCTACCACTCCTTTACATATTTCCCTCTACTTACAGGATACCCTGTATCTATACTTGCTCTTGGATGATATTTTTTTTTTAATTCATCCGAAAATTTTATAATTTCGAGCAAGAGAATTTACCCATTATCAAAACCTGTTTTTACTTTAATGATCTACAAAAAAAAAAAGTGTAAGTACTTATATAGCTAAAAATATCAATTTAATATACTCTCGAACACTTCATTAAATTATATTTGATATTACATTTTGAAAAATAAGTTGGTTACAATCCAGTATTCAAATGAGGGGTGGCCACCCCCACCCCTTTTCCCCAAGGCCGATGGCGCAATTTACGTTTTCTATTCTACAGGGCCAAAACTAATGAGTTTTCCAGAAGAGACAAGCTTATAATGCCGCCACAGTCGAAATTTTTTTAACTCAATTTCATGTAATAAATAGTTATCATACCATATAGTTACATTATTTTAAAATACAAGAAATAAAATAATTGAAATATTCTTTTATGATTTAAAGCCAAAATAAAAAATAAAGAGTTCATACCACGTGGATATTCTTCCACTGTTCTTCCGTTCCGAAACCTGATTCTGAAGACATTGAAATCGGATGAACTGATACCAATAAAGGTCTTTTGATGGGTACAGTATCATCCTCATATAGGCTAAAGGAGAAACATAAATTAAATCTGTAAATAACAACCTGAAATGAATTACTATGAATTAAAACTATGAAACAGTAGTGCTATAATAGGTATCTAATAAATTTACTAAAATATATTATCCTGCGCTGCTTATTTGGTCATAATGAAAAAAAAATGAAACAATAAAATTGCTGTTGTCAAATAAAACGTCGACAATGAATGTGACTAAAAATTCTTTTAGACTGCACTCTTCCTACCAACTTTCTTTTACTTAGATAGGTGTCCAAGAAACAGTGTCAAAGAGATAGTGTCCGTTAATTTAATCAATTTGATGGCCATTCGCTATTCAATAACCTAGGTCTCGGATAATATTTTTTAAAATTAAATAGCATATAGTTTAGATATTTAAAAAAGGGAATAGAAAAAAATATATACCAACTGAGGATGTCGAGGAAGGCCATAACGAGGATGGGGGTACACAGATGCATTCCACCTGCTCCCCGAACACATCTGTGCCAGCTCACTTTTAATAAAAGCTAGCTTAAGATAATATTTTAGTACGGGAATAAACAAAATTAAATCTTATATTAAGATATAATCTTAAAATACCATAAAATCAATGAATAATTCCTTAGATCTTCTTTGGCTATATTATAACATGATCTCTGAACTTTATTATAAGTGTCCTTAAACTGTGACAAATTGTAATATTTCTGAATAAAGTGTTTTACTAATAAATAATTATAACATGATAATATATTATAACCAGAGTTTGAAATCAATAGTTATTTTTTCCACAAAATCATGTAATAATGATTATATTTGATTTTTATTTAAAAAATCGTGACTGATTTATCAATAAATATTTTTTTTTATTGTTTCTTAATGATATTTACAACTGTATTAAATAAATACGTCTAGTAAATTTGAACATATGGATATAATGACATGAAACCCCTAACCCCCCCCCCCCCAAAACCCAATTCATCCAACAAAAACTTCTACATCAACAGACAACGACCATACTCATGAGGACTCCAAAAAATATCCATCTAAAATGCAAACGCTAGTTCTCTTCAGTGGCCGTATTTGCTGGGAATGGGAATAACATGCATAAACTTTTAATTCTGATCTTGCAACATAATTATAATATTCTTAAATTACACCACTACCATTTCATTATACCCATTATGTAATATGATTTAGTGGATGAGTTGGTTGCTAAAATCAATTTTTATTTACTTATTTTTATCTTAACATTATTTAAAGCTATTTTATTTAATATACAGACCTTTCGTGGATTCTTTTCTTGGCAAAGACTTCTGTGACAAAAGGCGTTCCTCGCTCGAGTTTGGGAGTGTCACAGGAGGTTAAGTAGTCCAATATGCCCTGTAAAAACATATTGTAGAATTAAACATTGAACCGGATAGCCATTTTTGAATATACATATTTCTCTTCTAATAAAATGAATAATCGATCTTAAATTATTATTATTTTTTAAAGGTTTTATTCCTTTTTGGGCCTTCATTTGGTAATTTAATCAAGGTGAGGCCTATTTTACCAATATATTACTTAAATTGCGAAATGAATTAAAATTGAAATAAAACTGAACTAAAATTGAAATGAGCATAAGAGTCTTATATAAAGATATTTATTTCTGCTTAGGCAATAAACTAAGTTTAAAGAAAAAAATAAAGAAAACACTTTATTAAATTAAACATGAGGCAACATAAGAAATAATTTTTCAACTACGAGTGTTCACAAAACAATTTAATTTAAAAATTGTCCTAATCTACGGACATTATCTATATTTATTGATAAATTAACACTATCATCTATAGCTTGCGACTTTAAACTTATCCTCCTTTTTTTCTCGAATCTTTTACAATGGAAGATAATCTTATAATAAATACAGTAATACATAAATATAGACATTTTATTAAATTATACAAATAAATGTAGACATTTATTTGTTCTCCCATGATTTATTCTAAGTCTAGTCAGCCAGGGTGGTCAACATGAAATTTAAGCGTCACAAACAAGCGCCAAAAAAGAATTTATAAGGGTTCACTAGATGAAAAGAGAAGCAGAAGACCCAAGGGCCATTGGAGGGATATTGTATTCCAAGATATACGGCAGTTGAAGGTGAAAAAAGTCCATTTAATGGATAGAGAAAAGTGAAATGCAGAAGTTGAAAAAATCAGGGGCTGCTATAAGCGCCTGTTGAGCAAAGCAAATAAGTTTTGTCTGCCATCTCATTTCCAGATATTCCTACAAGTTTCGGCACCCATTGAAAAAAGTTAAGGATTTAAAAAGTTAAGTTAAGGATATGGCTTTTACAGAAATGCATGTTTGTACATTAACATGATAGACAAATTCTAAATGTTTATATGCAGTTGAGTCCGTTAAAAATAGCTATTTTGTCATTCAGGTATGTTTTTTGGCATGCAGCTTAGTGCTACACTTACTGAATTAAGCTACCTATAAGGAAAATCCTTGATTCTCTTTGGTGTTTATCATGTTCAGTATGTCTCACTTTGGATCATGCATTTGGATCAATGTGGGAGCAGGCCTGCTTACTCGGTTACCAATCGGTTATTAAATCCGGATTTTTTTAGGTTAGTCAGTAGTATTGGATGGACCGCTGGTATAGAATTAAAAAAATAAAGAGTGATCTGAATTCAGTTCAATTATCGTTCAATATAAAATAAGTCCATCATACCTGTTTAATCAGACCAGTTTTTTCATTTACATCCTTCTGAAGTATAGAAAGGTTGGTCTGTAAATAGGGTACCACAAATGGTCTTAAAGGGCAGCTAGTAATCTCCAACAGAATCGTCTGAAATTCTTCAACGGTTATAGTACCTTCCTAAAATCAGAACGAACAATAGTTATTTATTTAAAAACAATAAAAATTATGAAAAAAGTTATATACAAATTTGTGTCTATATAAATCCGAATGCTTGAAATATGATTAATTATCCTAAATATCTAAAGATTCTAATTGAATAATTTCGTCACTCAGTGCTATTGATTAACGTCAGAAAAATGTAATGACCGGTAATATTAAACAATCAATCTACTGATGTTGACAGCACACGATCTAAATACTTTGTGCTTTAAATGTTGTGCTGTTCTACGATCTTGATGGAGCGGTCGACAATATGTGGTACTGGCACTGGTGGAGAGACTAAGTCCAGCAAATGGGCCAATAGGTGTTTTGACAATATGTAGCTTTATGCTATAATGGCTATAATGCTCTAAATATGAATTCTCTGCTAACTATATCAGTTTGATATATTACCCCCTATAATAGGGGGTATCAGGGTTTAAACTATATGCATATGCTAAAGATTTGGTGTTGATTGAAGATTGAGGGACGAATTTGATAAAATTTGAAAATGAAGCCAGCTGTTAGTCATGCAATGGTACATCCTGTTCTGCAGTACTCTTATAAAAAATCCACTCATCCCTATTCAACAGATCCGTTACCTAAGTCTACATCTTGACAAACGTTTTACTTGGAATTCTCATACAAGATTGAAACGACAAGAAACTGCTGGTAGATTCTGATAACTATAACACTGACTTGACAATCGTTCTACTTACTTACAATATTCTACAACAAAAAACTCTTATACGCTATTGTTTCTTAATGGTGAATCTAAATGGAAGAGATGAGAAATAAAGCTCATTTAACACAGGCATGCTTGCATGATACTGATTTATTTATTTCGTAATATATCGATTGTATAAAATTGATATATTGATATAGCTGACGTAACATTTTTTTTTTTTACTGAATTAGTTATCACTTCGAGAAGAGGTGAGTCTGGTGATTTTTCTGCCAAACAATGAATGAATAAAATATGTGTACTAAAAACAATCAAGGAAATACGATAAGTCGATCAGATGGCTTAGCTAATGCCTAGAAGTAAGTAGGCAAATACTTTACTACACCCTATGTTCCTATTATTGAAATTTAAGTTTATATTCAAAGATAATTATATGTAGCAACATATCCTAGGATTTTATGATTCATTTATGTGAACCCTTCCATTTTTAAGTGGAGATTTTATTTCCTTTCCCACGGTAAATTCGAATTATCGAAGAATTGACAGTTCATCTCACTGCCTTAAACCTTTAAATAAAGATAAAAAATATGTAATAGATTCAATTGCTTCGTTAACATATTTTCAAATATATCTTGCGTAAAAAAAATAAACTAATATATAAATTTATTCTTATATATAGTATTTTATTGTTCATTTTACAATAATTATGTTAATTATCACTCATAATTATTATACATAATATAAAAAACTCGCGAGGAGTCCATCGCCCCCCAAAACAAAATTGAATGTCTGTGCCTATGATTTATATCGTACTCTAAAAATGAAACCAGAGGTTTATGATAACTAAAGTATTCGAAAAAAAAAAACTAAAAAATAAAATCATAATATAAAAAAAAGTAAACGACAAATGGACACCGATGTTTCTATTTAACCTCCTGATGAAGAAGAAATAATAGATGCACTAGAGAAGCTAAAAACAAATAAGGCTCTAGGAATTGACAAAATTCCAGTAGAGCTGTTTAAGAACATAGGGACAAATGATAGTTTCCATAAGTCTGATGGACATATGGAGAGAAGAGAAACTACTTATTCCCAGAAAAAGCATAGTCTGTCCTATAGCATAGAAAGGTGACATATTAACATGTAGAAATGAGGTAAGGAGGTCGTATCCAGGTGATTTGCGGGTAGGTAGGTTTTGTAAGTGGTATTTGACCTCAAAAGGATTAACTGTTTTGGGCGGTAAGGAGAGTGGGATGGGTGAATTAAGGAATTCCTCTACTGCTGACGTGTGGGTGGGGTTGAGTTCCGGATGAGAGGTGGATGTAAGGGAAAGGTGTTTGGCGAATTCTCCTGCTTTATCTTCGTCAGACGTAGTCCAAGAGCCATCACCTCGACGGAGAGGATGTGATATATGATGGGGTTTTAGGATTTTTTTAGTGATCTTCCATAGGGAATTGTCATGAGAAGAGAGGGAAGTAAGGTAGGAGTTGAAGGATTGGGATCTGAAGATGGCCAATTCTAGCTTTTTTGCAAAAATAATTATAGGATTGACGATCGGTGGGTTGTTTAGTACGTTGCCATAATAATCTGGCAGGGCGTTTGGTATGGATTAGGTCTATGAGGTGTTGAGGTAACTTATTTTTCTTGGGAGTTCTTGAAGAGTGGTTTGGAGAGGAAGCAGTCCAAATTCCTTCTGGGATAGTGGTGGTAAAAAAGTGTACGGCAATGTCAGGATGGCAGTGGATCAGCTGGAAGATTGTGGTTTCAACTGGTCTCTCAGTATTTGCCTATTTTTCAACGGAATCTCTCTGAATTTTCATTGAATACATTTCACGTGTACATCAGAGCAGTTATTATTGCTGTTTGATATTTTTTTTTTTTTTTTGTCTTTCTTTCTTTCTTCTCTTATGGTATGCGGTATAGTCACCAAGTGATGTCGAGTAAGGTCCCCAAGAGGACTCCGTCAGACGGAGTTAGTTCACCAGCCAAACAAAGAACCCGCCGCTGCCTACGAGAAACATTTCCAACAACAAAAGTGAACACTTCAGAACCAGAACCTCAGCCATAACCATTAACTTCTTTGCAAGAAATGGTCGAAGAATCCTCTTTCTTTACTCCAAAAACCTACTAAGTGCTTCAAAATGACCGAGAGGTAATGGAGTCTGCAGCTATACCCACAGAACCAAGGCCTCCTCCGATATTTGTGAAAAATGTCAAAAATTTCCAGTTGCTGTGCACCCAACTAAATAAAATCTGCTCTGGCATTTATTCATGCCTTAACAGGGCCAACGATACAAAAATAACACCAGATACTGGTGAAACCTACTGAATAATAGTGAAGTACCTCTCAGAAAGGCAGGAGAGAACGTTACGAGTAGTAATAAGAAATTTACACTCCTCAACCCCAACTGAAGTGTTAAAAGAAGAACTAGTGACGCTTGGTTTTAAAGTACGTCAGGTAACCAACGTTCTGAAGGAGAATAAGGAGCAGCCTGGAGTAAAAAATAAAGTTGCACTACCTTTATTTTTAGTGGATCTAGAGCCATCATCCGGTATTGAAAAACTATACGATATCACAAGAGTATGGTGAAAGTAGAGAAACCATACTCCAAGAATCTCAAATCCAGACACCAGAAAAATCAGATTCAAGATGAAGCAGGAAGACCAAGAAGAAAGAGAGGGCCTTCTAGAATAGTAAACAATAGTGTATCATTTTCCCAGCTACTTAGCGGCAAGAACTCAACCGGTAACTGTCAAGCCCTTCTGCAACAACAACCTTAACACCAACCTCAAAATCCTATTGATCCGAATATATCTAACCATCAACATCAAAAGCATCATATCCCTCCTCCTTCAAATGTTACAGATCTCACCAGTTTGTTGGCATCTTTCCACACCGATTTCAAATCCTTAGTCACTCCACTCATAACACTCCTCACAAATCTCGTATCTCACCTCATCCCTCCTTTGAAAAATCCTTAATGACTCACATCCTAAAACCCTGGTTCAAACCCCCAAAACACATCCTTTGGAATGCGAATGGTGTTAGAAATCAAGTTGACGAACTAACAGCTTTATTACTGGACAAGAACATCGACGTAGCACTAATTACAGAAACACGACTGACCAGAAAACAGCATTTAAAAATACCTCAATACATAACATACCGTACTGACCATCCTGACGGTAAAGCACATCCCGGTACTGCTGTTATTGTACACCACTCTCTTTCTCATCACCAGCTCCCATTACCGACACAAGATTTCCTAAAATCCACCGCTATCGTAATCAAAACCTTCTCCTTTCCTGTCACCATAACATCAGCATATTGCCCTCCTAACAGATCCATATCCAATTTCCAGTTCAGTTCTCTTCTCAACTACTTAGGACATCACTTCATCCTGGGTGGAGATTTAAACGCCAAACATCATCAATGGGATTCTAGAACCACGAATTCTCGTGGCAGAACATTGTTATCTGCGCTCAATTCACCACGTTTCAGTATCCTTCCTTATCTTTAGCTCCTATTCCTAAGTCTTCTCCACCGTCCTTCATCAGAGGCCCAGTAAACTAGAAACTCTTTCACCAAATCCTTTCCGATAAAATTGACCTCAGAATAACCCTGAAAACCCCAGATAACTTTCTTTAATATTGGAGTCGTAGATATAGTAATATTAATATTGTAGATATAGTAATATAGTTGTCGGAGGTATAAGATACTCTCCACAGCCTTCCACATCATTGATAAACATATCTTATTAAAATAATATTATATTACGTATATTAACTTTACAAATTTCTTTGATATTGGAGTCTACTATAAGGTTATCCGAGGTGTAAGATACTCTCCACAGCCTTCTATGTAATTGATAAACATATGTTATGAAAATAATAATATATTACATTTGAATATAATACGTATATTAACTTTATGAATTTCTTCGTTATTAGAATCTACTATTATGTTATCGAGTGTGTAGAATTCGAAAATGATATTAGTTTTAAGATCGATTCATCTATTTCCGATTTTTTACAATATTCGTGATTTTATTGATATTGGAGGTATATATTCTTAGATTATTGAATACGTTTTGATATTTAAGAAAAAAATATAAAAAGTCGATGAGAAGAGGGGGAGGGGGGTTATGAGTGATCAGTAAGAATTTTATAATATATCCTAAAATTATTGGAATATATGTATATATTTCATCGTTATAATTTCTATTCGTTGGCAATAATATATATTTTTGTCGTTGCAATTTATATTTATATTTCATCGTTGCTATATATGTATATATTCCAATGTAATAATATATGCATATATTTCATCGTTACTATAAATGTATATATTCGTTTGCAATCATATATATTTTTATCGCTACCATATATTTATATATTCCGTTGTTTGTGATAGTATATATTTTTGTCGTTACAATTTATATTTATATTTATTTAAGGTAAACATGGTACAAGTTTTGACTTGTAGGATGTCACAATATATGTCTATATTTTTGTCGTTGCAACTTATATTTATCTTTACTTGAGGTAGACAAGTTGGAACCACTTGAGACAGGTTCAGACCAGTCGAACTTGAAAGTGAAAAAAACATAAATTAGGATTAAGGATTAAGATTAATAAATTATATTGGTCACGTGATGTACAGGTAGTTAAGGTAAGAATAGCCTAGAGTCCACAAGTGCTCCCCAAATTCTGGGATTAAAGTGGCCTAGAACCGCCATTTATACCCTACTCCTGGGTATATCACCCTTTATGATCGTCTGTATTATCACTCTTGCAGTTACATTATTGTAGTCAGATTCTTACCAGGAGACCTGGAGTAACTCCGTAACCTGTAAGGAACTCTGTAAGTCACCTGGAGTAGTCAACCCATATATTTATAGTATACTTCTGTTTGCTACATGCCATTTGTAACAGACATTATGAATAAAAGTATTACTTATAAAGTCCTCACTGCCTCTAATACGTTAACTTAAGGAATACCTGAAGGGTACGTGCGGTAGATGCAACTCAAAAACTCACCTTTTTGACCAAAAAAATGGTGTCAATTCATACTACATGAAACTTGTTACATTTAAATATAGACTCATATATAGCCTGTGAGAGAGGGCTGGGGGACCATTAACTATTGAGAATTGACATCCTTATCCTTTATTATTGATATGAGATCCGTGAGAAAGGATCTTTTGCTAAAATATGTTATTGTTCCCTAAGTCTTGATAATGTGTCCGGTCCGTGCCTTCTAGATAAATATTTCTAAGCTATCAGGGATAGCTTTGGCCTTTGAGGGTAGCTATGGGAATTGTCAATAGATGATTATCAATTGGCATATTTAACAAACTCAATTATTAAAATAAAGGTTAAATTAATAGTATTATTATTATTGGTTACGGATTAGGTCTATTCCATAACTGATGGCAGACGCGTGTTATTAATCATTTTTTGGAATCCATATTTAAATGCAAAAGGTTTCATGCAGTTTGAAATTACACTGCTTTTTTGGTCAAAAACGTGAGATTTTGAGTCGCGCCTACCGCGCGTACCCAGCGGTTATTCCATGCCAGACGCATGTTTTTTGTCCTTTTTTGGAGTCTATATTAAAATGCAACAAGTTTCATGCAATATGAAAGGATACCATTTTGTTGGCAAAAAGTGAGATTTTGAGTCGTGTCTGCCGCGCGTACACGGTGGGTATTTGTTGGCAGATTAATAGTTTTAATATGTGGATGGGACCTTATATCTATTACAGCTTTTATATTTTAGTATGAAATAAGTCAATTTTTACGGACATAAGATCGTATTCACCTGGCAGCCATTTTCTATTCTAGCGACTATATGGTGGCAGACATATGATGGCATTTTTCTTTTGAGGGCTTTGGACAAGGTCAATTTATATGGTCAACCCTTAGTATGAAATAAAACATCTTTTTTGACACGGGCTCCAGAACTATTAAAATTCAATTTAAAATATATGCTTAGCAGAGGCTACTACTAACTACCAAATCTATTGAATTGTAAGAATACTCACTATCAATGCTAAAATGGAATTCTTCACTTTATCTCCAACAGAACAGCCCATTTCTTCTCCATGTTGTATTAAGGTGTGTAAAAGTCTGCGCACTTTCGAAAGGTTATGCGACCTCTCAGATGATTGACCTGCCAAAAGCTGAACATCAGAAGGTGTGAGACCTTAAAATTTTAGAACTTCCATATGATTGACCTAGTACAATATGATTGACTGATTTTTTTTTATACAATGGCTGAAGCATTGGGTGGATTAAAATGATCTTTCCATTCTTTTGGACCACCCATGTGTAAACAAAGTATTTATTATCCGAAAAAGAGATGAACCAATGTTGCTTATTTCTATTAATTTATCAATTTCGCCCATTCATTGTGATATCCAGAAATATTCACATACCTGTACCAAGCTCATGCGTTAAGCTTATGTAATAAACTGAATTTTAAAATTTGAAATAGATTTTAATTATAACTGAGGAGAACTGATTTCTGCGGTTCAATTCAAGATCTTTGACAGTAATCCCTCAGATGGGACCGTTGCTGGATAATATTATATCTAAAGATGCTCTAGTCAAGAAGCTGTGCTAGGTTGTTGGTGTTTCCTGATTTTGTTATTAACTGGAAGGGATAAAAAATAATGTGAAAATGGAAAATATATTTTACTTACCACAGTATGTACAAAGACATATAATTCATTTTGACTCTGGATTGAAGTCTCTTCATATCTATACATTCCAGATTCATCATGGTTACTTATCAGATTTGTTAAACATTAAAGCCAATAGATTATTAAAATATTTAACCAATGAGACGAGACTGTTTGACCTTTAGAATAAGAATAAAGTAACTTTCTGAACCAATTTTATTGGAGTTCCGAAAAGAATGCTTGAATAAAATATTATAAAAAAGCACAGCATTAAAAAAAATAAAATAAAGTAAAATAATTTAATTTTAAGCTAGCAATTCTGTGTTATACTATTCATAAAAATTAATATAGGTTGTTAGGCATGCGGAGGTACCCTTCCCATTGCATGTACTTTGTAACGCAATCATTCAACAGCCGTCCAGGTTGGGAAAATGCACACTGATAACAGTAATTCACAGTAGTACACAGCAACACTCATAAATTACACACAAAGGATATTAATAGAACACATCTTAGGGACTGCTTCCCTAGGAAACTATCTCAGATGAGAAATCCGTCAGGTTTTGGAGGCAAGGTTCGGAATCCATGGACAAATAACTACATCCCTGATCCTGATTAATTAAGAATAAATCCCACATATAGATATAAATCTCAGATAAATCTATGTCAATCAGAATTTTGACACCACATGGAAAGTGTGCAAAGAAACCCTTTCTTACAGTGAAATAAATTCTGGGAATCCAGACATGGGTGATTTTATGAGGAATGTCAAGTATTTACGGAGAGGAAAATGGCTCAGAGAATTATGGTAAGAGTACTCACAGCCAGTGAAATATCTCTAATATAACTCTATCCCTCCTTTTCCCTAGGAAACGCCGTAGGAAGTTGTGAAAGACCGGTTGAAAAAGCCGTTCGTAGGCGGCCGGGGCTACCAAGGGAAAAGACATTTGTAGAATGTAGCCAGGAAATAGTGAACTAAAATGAAATAGTGAGAAGAAGAAGCCAGAAACGTAGAGGAAGAAGAGATGGGATGGAGTATAGAAGGAGCAGGATGAACTACAGAAGGACCAGGACCAAGCCATTGGGTGGAGAAGAAGAGAAACTGTAGTTGGTAGACGTGATAGAGCGATACTGGTGAAAAGAAGACAAGGAAAGGAAAGAAAGAAGAGAAAAAGAGCAATGGGTGCGGGAAGACAGGACATTTGGTAGCAAAGTGCCCACGTACAAGATGTTTCGAATGTGGAACCGAAGGGGACATTGCCAGGCAGTCCCCTACATGAGCAGGCGCAAAGAAATCAATCGACCAGAACCGGCAGAATCGGCATCCGCCAAAAAGGAAGCAAGAAGAAACACCAAAATGAAATGTACCCCTAAGTGACCTACAGGTGGACATATTCACATAGAAGAGGCATAGGTGGATGACTACAATTGATGTTTTTTGCTAATGAGCCATGTCATACCTAGTACAGGAGTGGTCGGCGTACATGGTTTCAGTTTTACGGAGTACGAGACTGAATCTCTTCAGGTAAAGGAAGAGAATTTGATAACGTCAGAATCAGGGCAGAGATGAAGGACCTGGATATAGAGTGGCATCTGAATACACCCGGGCACCCCAAGAGTAGAGGAGGGATTGAAAGACTACATAGTACGCTGGGAGATCATTTGCAACTATATCACGCAGATAAAGGCCTGGAACCGAAAGTGGCAGTACCCAAATCAACAACTGCGTACAACCATTCCATCCACGCGGTTACGGGGTTCACCCCATTCGAGGTACTATTTGGGCTCAGAGAACGGCGTAGGGATATCGGAGGCACAGCGGCGGAAGAAGCTATGTCGCATCAACTTATCAATAACAGAATAGAGCTGGGAAAGCATTCAGATAAAATGCGCAAGAGAATAGAGACGGAATCTTTAACAATTCGGAGAAGATGGTGGGAGAGAATTCATTGAATGATTTGTTTTTGACCGGTCCACAGATACAGACTGATATTACGGAACTTATAGACCAGAAGCTTTCTGGTGGCCTTAACATGCGATATAAAAACGATATTTATGTGTATCTGCATTGCCGAAACTAATCCAAATTTATTAAATTTTCTTTTTGGAGAAGTATATTGCATATATATTATAGTATGTGTGCATATATAACTTATGTGTTATATTTTCCCTTATTCTATATATAATTATAAGACTTTCTCACGGTTTTAATGTGAATTCTAAGAAACAGCTCATGGAAACACAAGTCAGGCTTGTGAAATGTTAACCCTTGCATCAACCTTCTTAGAATTAGACTCCTCTTTCCTATATATCCTTCAGAAAATATTCTTATTTGTTCTCAGTCCATCTAGTGCTCTACTCCACCCCACTCTTCTTTCTGATATTGTTATTTTGACTTTATATTATAGTATATTAATATTGCGAATTAATGAAGTATGTTGTTTTTCGGATTCTCGTAACATACTCTATTGGTTACAGACACCGCTTCATGAATTTCAGATTTATGTTGCCAATCGCGTAGCACAGATTTTAGAAGTAACAGAACCCAGTTGTTGGCACTATATTCCTACAAAACAGAATCCAGCGGATTGTTTATCGAGAGGCCTCACATCACACCAAATACTTTCTCATGATCTTTATTGGAACGGCCAGCCATTTATTACGTAACGTCCTTCAGACTGACCTATTTACCATATTGAACATATATATATATATATAACGGGCCTATTTACCATATAACCGTTCTGCCTGAAGTAAAAGCTATATCTCAGTTAGTGGCTGAAAAACCTAATGATTTGTTGATTATCCTGGAAAATTACTCGATTCTTTTAAAGTAGCAAAGATTTTTTGCTTCTTTTTTTTTTTAGATTTATTAACCATTGCCGAAATTGGGAGCATGGTGTTTTGGCTGTTGGAGCCTTGACTACTGATGAGCTTAAGGATTCATTAATGATTTATAACAAGCTTGTGCAGAGTAAATTCTTCGCTGACTTAATTGATTGTACTAGCAGTGGCAATCCATATGGAAATTCCTTAAACAGGCTCACATCATTTTAGATAAGGAAGGTGCTCTGAGGGTGGGAGGTAGATTGAAATATTCTACACTTGATGTGAAAAGTAAGCACCCGCTGCTGATACCTAAAGATTAACATTTAGTGACCATTACCACAGGTATTCCTTGCATGGTGGGCTCCTCTTAGTGTGGAAATTCGAATTTATCATACCAAAAAACATGGAATGAGGGTGTTTTCAAGTGAAATACAATATCAATGTAGAGCTGTTTTATTTTATCACCCTTCAACTTTACTACATTTATCCCACTTTTTCGTTTAATAAGCCTCAAGTCCATATTGATTATGTTCAGATTTATTAGGCAAGTTTTTGAGATTCACCTCAAGTTGTGTAAATAAATGATGTGATTTGCTATCCAGTCACCTAAAAATACCCGTGGTTTCAACAAAAATTACCACAATTAACTGTTGCAAAGCTTTAATTTCCATTTTTTTCGTGATATGGTGGAATGTGTTTTAATAAATATAATTGCATAAAAACACATTTTATTTACCCAAAATAAATTTAAAAACATTTTTTTTTCAATATTTTTTATGTAAGTTATTTATGATTGTGTTTTTCTTCCAAATTTCTGTCATAGGAATTGGTCTGTATTAATAAGTGACAAACTTAATGTTTCTAGTCCTGATATATCGGTTTTCATTAAAATAATTGAAGCAGTCAGTAGATTTCTTTATTTTAAACGTGAATTTTAGTATGAAACATTAAGTTTCTGGTAAGAACTTAGTGTTAGTTAGAATATACATGGTGATATGTATTTATCGGTGGATAAATATATATCAATTTCTATGACGGAGATCTGAGAGAAAACCCCAATTCTATACCCACTTTACCAGAAAAATCTTTATAAATCGTTATTTCTAATTTTTTATATTATAAATAAAATGTGTTTTATGGCAATTATGTTCACTACAATACATCCCATATTACGGAAAACAAGAAAGAAAAGCTTTGCAACAGTTAATTTTAGTACTCTTTGCAGAAAACACGAGTACTTTAAGGTGACTGGATAGGAATTCACATTGTAGCGAATCTGTGCAGAGTCTTATAGTTTATATTTTATTTTTTTGTGTAAATAATTTTTTAAAATGTACATTTCTTTCATTTCCCGTGATGTGAGCGTCTTGTGAGGTCAATCTCGTAACGGGCGCTTAAACTACGTGCAACTACATGACTCAGCACAGAGCCTCTACATCATTTTATTACACAACTTGAGATGAATCTCAAAAACTGAGCTATGATATGGAATTATAGCTTATTAAACGAGGAAGTTTTTTGTAAAAGTGGGGTAACTGTAGTACAGTTAAAGTTAAAAATAAAAAAACACAAATAATTTACGACTTTTTTTTAAACGAAACTCTGTGTGTCCGCCCAATAGTCCTCTTTATATAATTTTAAAAATGGCAAATTCAATTTT